TCTATGGCTCACATACATTAACATCATGGAATATCCCGTGAAAGATCAGACTACAAAGATTAGGGCATCAGCATTGAGAGGTGTCCATGTGTCTGAGGAATTCCTGTACACAGTCTAGAGAGAAGGATTTATCGTGATAGCTGGATGTGTTTGAAGATGTCATCGTACAAATTGAATCCAGAACCCACTGGGCTATATCAGGGAGAACAACATCTAAAAAAAGGCCCAGCTGGAAGAACAAAACAGATGAAAAAAAATTATTGCTCAGATTATTACATACAAATTGGTGTGGCTAGCCTGTTGATTCAGTCCCTCATTTCATATGTCTTGGACAGGTACTCTAGATATACTGAACTCAGAATTGAATAGAGGAAGAAATTTCAATTAGGGAGATTGCATGAGAGAGAGATAAAGAGTGTGTGTGTGTGTGTGTGTGTGTGTGTGTGTGTGTGTGTGTGTGTGGGGTGGGGGCAGCACTGATTTTTCTGGTGTAGGGAGCTCTTAGTGGGGAAACACCATCTAATAATACATATTTGCATGACTGTTTTAGTCAGAGAGTTCTCTTAGGTACTAAAAGGGTAAGCACAAAACACTACTTTTTTCTCTTGCAAAATTGGTGTCTTTTGTCTTTAAATGACTCAATTCAAAATATAGGCCTCCCCCCTGCCACCCCCTTTAATAAAGAACAGAAAAAGAAAGGGAAAGGGTGGGAAAGGCAAATTGGACAGTATATTCAGTGTTCATAAAGTTGGTGAAACATTGAAGGTAGATGCAATGGGACCAGAATCTAGCAGCAGTGGTTTAAAAAAATCAAGCCAAGAAACTCTTAGAAGGGGAGTTGAGTCATCAAAGCAGCTATCTTCTATTCACTTTGCCTCTCATGCCTTCAGTCTCCAGTGGTTCCAGTCCTTTTCAAGACTGTCATTTCTCAGCTTATGATCTAAATCACTTCCTATCTCCGGGCCTCAGTTTCTGAATCGATGAAATGAAGGGTTTGGTCTCAAACTGTTTTTATGTATAGTACAGTATTCTTTTCCATGAGGAATCAAGACGCACTGAATGAGTTTGTCAACTCTACAGAGAATCAGACCCATGTGTGCAAAAACCAGTCATTTTTTTTTTTTAGGCAGTTGGGGTTAAGTGACTTGCCCAGGGTCACACAGCTAGTAAGTGTCAAGTGTTTGGTCTGAGGCCAGATTTGAACTCAGGTACTCCTGACTTCAGGGCTGGTGCTCTATCCACTGTGCCACCTAGCTACCCCGCATTTTTGTTGTTTTTGGCAAGTTAAAAATTGGATACATTTTGAGATTCAGTGTACATATAAAAGGCAAAGTTTGTTAATAATACTAGCTAAAATGTGTATAGAGCTTTAAGGTTCGAAAAGCACTTTACATATATTAACTTATTTGATCCTCACGGCAACTCTTTGTAGTAGGTGTTATCATTATCCCCATTTTATAGATGAGAAAACTGAAGCACAGAAAGGTTGTGAGCTACCCAGGATCACAGAGCTTGGTAGGATCAGAATTTAGATTTTTCTCATTCCAAATCCTGTATTCTATCCCCTCCTTTGTACCACTGAGCTGTTTATTTTGTGAACACTATGTTTACCATGTTATCTATGGTGGGTAAGTAAAATTTATATTGAACAAAATTATAAATTTTCTTTAATCTGTGACAACTTCAATCCAAGTATTTTTTAATTAAAATTTTTAAAAATTTATTTTAAAAAATATTTGGTTGCTGTAGTAGAAACATCTTGACAAACACACAGCTCCCTCCCTGAGAGATCCCCAAGTATATTAAGTTAAGGAAAACTGCTTAAAAGAGTGGTTGCCACCGATAGTACATGTTACTTTCTACTCTTGTAGGTTAGCACTTGATGAAAGGAAGGCTAGGTACTAAAAATTTAACAATATGGTCTCAGTATCATCTATTCTGTTTGACCTCAGTTTTATTTTGTTGCTGTTTTATTCTTCTTCTGACAAGACTTGCTATCAATCAAAAGTGTTGATATATAAAACAAACTCTAAACCTATGAAAAAAACTGGAGAGGGGCAGCTAGATGGCACAGTGGATACAGCACCAGCCCTGAAGTCAGGAGGACCTGAGTTCAACTCCTGCCTCAGACACTTAACACTTACTAGCTTACTGGACCCTTGTCTAGTAAGGCAATCATGCCTCACAAAAAAAAAAAGAGTATTTTGAAGTTATAATTCCTATATGTCTAACGTGGACTTGCAGAAATTATATCAATTTTCTAGTTATTTTGAATGGAATTCCTATTTCTGTCTCTGCTAAGTTTTGTTGATAATGCATAGAAAAGCTGATGGTTGTGTTGTTTTTACACATTTATTCATCAGAATTATTTCTTTTTTTTTTTGTCCTCAAAATTTTATTTAAGAGAACTTCCCATCCTTCCCAGGCAGACTTCTCCTGTAGACTCTTAGGCCAAGGATCCTACCTGTATCTTCCCTAAATCTCTTGAAATCTTTTCTTCTTAAATTTAGGGTGCATATTATACTATACCCCCTTCACTCTAACAAAAACTAAGGTAGAAGGGTCCCTTTCCCACAAAGTTCCCATTATTTTCACTCCAACAAGCAGTTCACCACCTTGAAGAGAATATAATAAGACATAGATTAGAAGTTCCCCTTATTGCTTCTCTAACGTTTTGAAGAGTGAAATCATCATTAAAACAATTCAAGAACATATTAGCTACTCTGCTTGGGACGGACAATGAGCATCAACAAATACTGAAGTATTCAAGTTCTCCATCACTATTACATCCTACCTCCATGCCAGAATTGTAATGCTTTCTAAACTCTTCATCTGTTTTCTCCAAGTGAATTGTAGCATATTCATGACAACGCTTTTATTTCTACCCTAAAATGATATCACTTAAATGGTCTCTGTTATATTTCCTCTGTCAGTTTCTTGGAATTCCTCACCCATTTTTTTTTTAAATTATGAACTTTAACAAATGCTGAATAATATAGGCATTTCCATATACACACCAGGTGATGCAATGGATAGAGTATTGGGCTTGGGATTCCTACAGATACTTAGTAGCTATGTGACCCTGGGCAAGTCACTTAACCCTGTCCACCTTGGTTCCTCATTGGTAAATTGAACTGGAGAAGGAAATGGCAAACCATTCCAGCATCTTTGCCAAGAAAACTCCAAAATGGGGTCATAGAGAGTCAGAAACGACTGAAATGACTGAACAACACAAAATTGCAGACCTGCACTATGTATAGCTTACTTTTTCCTTTTTTTTTGCTGAGGCAATTGGGGTTAAGTGACTTGCCCAGAGTCACACAGCTAGCGAGTATTATATGTCTGAGGCTGAATTTGAACTCAGGTACTCCTGACTCCAGAGCCAGTGCTCTATTCACTGTGCCATCTAGCTGCCCCTTACTTTTTCCTTTTTAAAATATACTAGTTTAAGGGGCAGCTAGGTGGTGCAGCGGATAAAGCTCTACCCTTGGAGTCAGGAGGACCTGAGTTCAAATCCAGCCTCAGACACTTACTAGCTGTGTGACCCTGGGCAAGTCACTTAACCCCTGTTGCCTCACCAAAAAAAACCAAAAACCAAAACAAAAATATACTAGTTTACCTGTTGGCTTTCAAGAGCTGTCATGTTTGTGCTTTCTGGCCTTCCTTCTCTTCATTTAAAAAAAAAAAGATTTCTCAAGGGCCTTTTTTTTTCTTGCTACCTCATTCCTACTTTCTGTCACCCCACCCCCACTCCTTTACCACCTTGGGGGTGGGGGGGGGGAAACAACAGCAAAGTCCTTGTAACAAATATGCATAGTTATGCGAAACAAATTCCCGTATTGGCACTGTCTGAAAATGTGTATCTCCTTCTGTATCTTGAGTTTAACATAGCTCTGTCAAGAGCCTTCACCTATCTTAAGATAACATGCTATAATTACCCTATAGGACCTGTAATGATGCTCAAATGAGATTATATATATAAATATATATCTATATATATATATCTATATATCTATAAAGTATTTTGATAACCTCAAAGGGCTATACAAATATCTATTAATATTAGTCTTTAGTTCCATTTTGTTTGGAAAGTGGCCTTTGAAAGGGCCATGATATCTAGCTACCAGAATAGGATGAGTGGTGCTAATTGTTACTGGTTTAGGTGGGCCTTCTTAAATGGAAATTCCCTGAGGGGGCTGAATGCAGAGCTCTCACTTCTTTAGACTTCAATTTCCCCATCTGTAAAATGAGAGAGGATAGAATGGATGAGCCCTCTGCTCTCTTTCAGCTTTAACTAGGCTCCATAGTCTAACGCCCTTCCTAGCTGTGACATTCTATGTTATATTCTGAGAGCTTCTGGATTTATTTCATGACTGAAACTGCTCTCTCCACACTCACCAGTGACTTTAATTTTCTAAATTCTTGGTTTTTTTCTTAGCCCCATTCTTCTTGAACTCTGTAATATTTAAGACTTAACTATTCCCCCCCTTCTATATATTCTTCCTCCTGGAGTTTTTCTAACAGTGCTTCCTCCTGGTACTCCTTATACCTGTCTTTTAAAGCCTTCTCAACAGGATCATTATCTGTATCCTTTTCATTTTGGGTGAGGGTACCCTGGGGCTCTGACTTGGGCTTTTCCTTCCTTTTCACTCTTGGTAATCTGCCTGGGCTCCCATGGTTTAAACACTCAATTCTATGCCAGATGCTTCCCAAATCTATATATTCAGCCCTCTTCTGAGGACAAGTCCTTCATCTCTAACTGCTGGCAGGGTATTTCCACTTGGATGTCCCATAAGCGTCTAAAATTCAACCCATCAAAAAGAGAATTCATTATTTTTTCCCCAAAACCAACCCCTTCAAACCTGCACAATTCTGTTAAGAACATCAGCGCCCTTTTAGGTACCCAGGACCACAGCCTGAGCCATCCTCAACTCCTTGCTCCCCCTCCACCTATCCAACCAGTTGTTCCTATCTTGAATTTTAATCATATCTGCTCCAAGTTTGGTTGGAGCTCCAGAATAGAAAAACATTTTATTTTAACCATGGGTAAGTACAATAGCCTTAAAAAAATTAACAAAATAAAACAAGCTAGTAGGAGCTAACTGCTAAGATACTGGGTTACGGTGGCAGTGGTAGGAAGGTAGCAATAGAAGTTGTCACAGGTCTGCAAAAGCCTCTTTCTGCTGGTCTAACCACTGTTCCAGAGTTCTGGCCTTGGGGTTGAGTTTCAAGGTCAGCTCCACGTCTCGGTCTGGATTCATAGCGTAGAAGCGGAACATGTTGGCCAGGTCCTGTGCCCCAGGGAAGCCAAGGTTCTCGTAATCCTCAGGGGAGGTCTACCAAGAAAGGAACAACCCATGAAAGTCAGCACCTTGTCCAGGATGCAGCTGGAGCCACCATGTAAATTCAGAGACTTTTCTTTCCTTCTTTCTCTCTCTTCTTTTTAAATAAGTGTGACAAAAGCTTATTCAGATCCAGTCTTTAAGAAGGGTATTTACTCTTTTCTTCTACAATTTACAAATTTAGAATCTCAGGATCAGGGAGCCTATCATTCATGTGATCAGTCTCTACATCTGTGACATCTCATTAATCTATCTTTACAGTCTATAGCTTCTACCTGTCTTCACTTGCCTAGCTTTTTAGAAATTATCAATGAAAGTGACTTATAATTAAGTTTGCACTAAGGATTTTACAGCAGAAGGCCAGCATGGTGGTGCATGATTCTAATCCCCTGCTACTGACGGAGGCTTAGGCTGGTGGATTGCTTGAGTTCAGGAGGGCTAAAGTTAATCAGGTGTCCACACAAAGTGGCATCAACGATATGGTCAAACACCCCTCCCCAAGATGGGAGGGCCACCAGGCTGCTGAGGGTAGAAGTAGAATGGGTCAAAACTTTTGCACTGATAGTACTGGGACTGGGCCCATGAGTGAGTGGTATACTGCCAAGCCCGAATGAGAAAAGAAAAAAGAGCCAAAAAAAAAAAAAAAAAAAGGAATAAACAAACAAACAAATAACAAGAATTAAATGTATAAAATTATAAGACATTGGATTACAAAGGAAACCAATTATATTCAAATACAAGTATCAAAAAAAATTTTTTTTAAATTGTCCTGGAGATATACCTGTCGATACCCAAAGGTACCAGAAACACACGGCTGGGGATGACCTGTGCTCATACCCTGGCTTTGCCGTAATTAGCTATGACTATGAGAGGGAGTTCACATCTCTGAATCTCAGTTTTCCCATTTTTTAAATGGGGATAATGATACTTGTACTACCCACCTTATGGGGCTACGCAAGGAAAGATGCTCTGTAAACTATATAACATTACATAAATGTAAGCCATTATTATTTTTAACATCAGTATCCAAAGACTGATATCAGACTGCCCTCCCTTTGAGAAAATGCAGCATGGTGTAGCAGGAGGGCTGAATTTGTAGTCAAAGGACTTGGGTTTAAATCCTGACTTCAATGGCCACATCTATAATATAAGGAGGTTGAACTTAATGGCCCTCAGTGCTCCTCTTGGCTCCAAATCTATGTTCCCATGTTGTCAGGCCTCAGGGAGCTTCCCACCTTGGCATCATGCACGGTCTTCCCGGTGTATTTAGAAAGAAGGGAGGCATACTCTGTGGCTGTGTGCTTGCATGTGCTAAGCCCAATGTTTCGACCCACGTATTCTTCTGGGGACTTCAGCAGGCTGAGCACCACAGGACCCAGGTCGGCCACCGACATTCCATCCATCGGGACCTCACCCATGGGCAAACCTTCAAAGGGGAAGGAAAAAAAAGACCCAAGGATGGTGGGTGGGGGAAACAAAATTCTCTTCTCCCTACCAGACTGTTTTGAGCAATTCTAACACCATCTTGTAAGTCTTATGCTGTCCTTTGCCAAAGCAGAGCTGGTTTATCTGACAACTGCCAGACAGAAGGTTCTAGTGATTGGCACATCCAGAGAACAAAGGATTCTTGATCCTCCTGGTTATCAAACACTCTTTAGACCAAGGTGACTCTTATGCCACCTATAGTCTTAGGAGAATGAATTGCCCAAGCACTGAAAGATCGACTTGTCCAGGGTCACAAAGTCAGTACGTGTCAGAGTTGGACTCAGGTCTTCCTTAGTCTGACCTTGTTTCCCCGTCCAATGGCATGCTGCCTCTGATGATCTATAAAATGACATTAAATCTCTTTCAACCACACAATGGTTAAAAAGGAAAAAAAATAACTTGGGGGTAGGAAGAAAGACTTGCTGTGAAAGGTCATTGAAAGAGACAGCACATGAAAATAAACTCACTCAGCAAGTAACTATTTCCATCAGGGGCTTTCTGGGGTAGGAAGTAGGTGAGAAGGTTTTCAAAGTAGCAGGGCAGCCGGACACTGATCATTGGCACACCCAAAGCCCGGAAGTATTCCTCAACCTCCCCTTTGCCATCAAAGTGCCTGACTATCAGCTGGCCGCCCGTCAGCTTCTTCACATTCTCCAGTCCACTGTAGACCACGTAACTCAAGCCCAGGCGTTTGGACAGATCGGCCAGGAGTTTACCCTGTAGAAGACACCATGTCCTCACAAATTAGGAATCACAGGAAGGGCATCTCTCCTGTCATTCAACAAACGCTGCAAATGAACACTTATTATTTGTCTGCTCATTGATCAAATGCCCTACTCTGGGCAAAGCAATGACAAACGAAACAGTCCCTGTCCTCAACGAGCTTACCCATACTTAGGGAGATGCAGCACATACACAAAGAAGCATAATACAGAAGTCCCCAACTCCCTAAAAATGACATAGCTGCAGAATCCCAGATGCCTCTGAAGGAAAGCTCACTCCTTTCTGAAGAAGCCCTTTGCACTGGACTGTTATTGAGCATTCTTACTCATCCTGGCCAGAAATCTGCCTCTTGTAACTCCTACCAATATACCCTAGTTCTGTGTTCTGGAACCAAAGGAAGCTCTAACTGCTCTTTCAGTTGCAAACTAGAGCAAAGCAAAACCAGTTCACTATTTCTGGTTTATATAATTGTTCTATTAAAACACAGGTTCTTAACCTTTTTTTTTTTTTTTGGTAGGCAATGGGGTTAAGTGACTTGCCCGAGATCACACAGCTAGTAAGTGTCAAGTGTCTGAGGCTGGATTTGAACTTAGGTCCTCCTGACTCCAGGGCCTGTGCTCTATCCACTGCACCTCCTAGTTGCCCAAAAATAATGTTTTTAAATGCACAAAATAAAATACAGAAGACAACAAAGGTAACCAAAGGTAATAAAAACAAAAAATGTAATTTTTTCCCCCTTGCAGCTTATGGAACCCTTGAAATCTATTCACAGACCCAATGAGTATTGGTGGACCCCAGCTTAAAAACCTCTGTATTTAAAGGTGAAGAAAATGATCAGTGGATGACAATCATTTTTCTCTACTCTGTCTAGGAGGGTTTCTTGAAGAGTGGGGAATTTTAGGAAATTTTTAAAGTAGGGAAATGAATGAGCTGAAGTGAATGGAGAAAAGGTCTCTGAGACCTAGAGAGTAGTATGTTTCCACTCTGACCTCAGCTCTTTTGACTCAGCTACTCCCTCATCTATAAGAACTGTGTTTTTTGCAGGCTGACTTCACAGAAATCTAGAAAGACATGTATGGTCTGATGCGAGTGAAGTAAGCAGAACCAAGAGAAAGTTGTACACAGTAACAGCCACGTTGTGTGATGACTAATAGTGATAAACTTAACCCTTCCTGGCAATACAAGGATCTAAGACATCTCCAAAGGCCTTGTGATGGAAAATGCTATCCACATCCAAGGAAAGAACTATGGAAGTTGAATTGCTTTTTTTTTCTCTTCTGTTGAGTTTTGTTTCCTCTTTCTGATGGTTCCTCCTATTGGTTTTAATTTTTACTTAGAACATCACTAATGTGAAAATATGTTCAATAGGAATGTAAATGTATAGCCTATATCAGATTGTGCGCCATCTTGGGGAGGGTGGTGGGGAGCAAGGGGGAGAAAAATTTTAAAATTTTAAACTCAAAAGCATATTGATAAATCAAAATAAATTAATAAAAAAAAAGAATTGTGTTTTTTGGACCAACTCCTTCCTAATCAGAGATTCTTGTGTAGCCATTTCTAACATGTGCCAGGACTCTCCTGTCCCTCTCCTATCCTTGGCTTGTTCCTCGTCAAAGTTAGGGGTGACTTGACCTCCAAGGGGAAAGCTAACCTGGGGGATCCTGATTGGGGTGGTTTTGTTTTCCAGCCAAGATTATTAGAGGCAGTAGACACCCAACAAGCAATTAACATTCCTTAATTGCTAGAGAGGGGAATGAACATCCACACTTGAATGCCAACCCACCTATAAATCAGGTGGGCCAAGTGATGTACTGTCAGGCCAATCAGAAGGGACACACACCTAGGTTCAAAAGACCCTGTCGACCATCACTTGAGGTCTTTGGTCATAGACAGAGAGGCCATACACCCAACTTCTTGGTCACAGAGAGCCTAACCAATAAAGTGATCATGCTAAGGTCCTCAGCTTTTGCTGAGGTGCCAACATGACCCATTTTAATAACAGTTTACAGGTTGCTGTTATTAAAATGATATCTTGTCCTGGAGAAAACTATGTCTTTGTTGCAATTTTATTCGCCACAAAGGGGAAGAGGAGGCGGAGGGCAAGGAATGTACTGGGAAGTTTAGGTGATGTAAAAACAAAAGATGTCAATAAAAATATTTTATGAAGAATATAAAAAACAGGAAACTTTGTAAATTGTAAAGAGCTATATAGATGTGATAGATTATCATTCTTCCTCAACTCTAGAGTACTCCATCTGGACATCTCCTTAAGCTATATCTTTGCACAGGTTGTCCCCTAATGCCTGGATTCCTCACTTTTGCCTTTATAAATCCTTAGCTTCCTTCAAAGCTCAGCTCAGATGCTAGTCAGTCAACAAGCATTTATTAAGTGCTTATTATTATTTATTATTATTGTTATTGTATTCTGTGCCAGGCACTGTGCAAAGCACTAGGGACACAAAGAAAGGCAAAAAGATGGACCCTGCTCACAATCTGATGGGGAGAATATGCACATAACTATGTACAAACAAGATATAAACAGGATAAATTGGGGATAATCCACAGAGGGAACACATCAGCATTAAGGAGGATTGGGAAAGGTTTCTTGTAGAACATGCAATTTTAGCTGGAACTTGAAGGAGGCCAGGAAAAGGAGATAAAAAGGGACAGAATTCCAGGCACGTAAAAATGAAAATGCCTGGAGTTGGGAGATGGAATATCTTATGTGAGGAATGGCAGAGGGACCATTCCCACTGGATCATAGTGTATGGGGGGAAGGGACACTGGAGGGGCAGCTAAGTGGTACAGTGGATAGAGCACTGGTCCTGGAGTCAGGAAGACCTGAGTTCAAATCTGCCTTCAGACACTTTACTAGCTGTGTGACTCTGGGCAAGTCACTTAACCCCAATTGCCTCCAAAAAAAAAAGAAGAAAACAACTAGAAAGGAAGGAGGGGGGCTTTGAATGCCAGACAAGATTTTAAAAATTTGTTCCGGAAATGACAGGTAACCATTGCAGTTTATTGAATAAGTAGGTGAGATGGTCAGACTTCTCAATTTGACAGCTGAGTGAAAGATGGATCAGAGCAGGGAGAGATTTGAGGCAGGCAGACCCAGGCTTATTTCAGTAGTCCAGGTTTGAAGTGATGGGCGCATACAGCAGGGTAGTGGTAGTGTCAAAGGAAAGAAGAGGGCACATGGGACAGATGTTATAAAGTTAGAAACAACTGTAATTAGCAACAGATTATACATGGGGGATGACAGAGAATCAGGATGATTCTCAAGGATGATAACCTTGGTTTGGAACCTAGTGATACGCTGGACAGTAACAACGAAGCTGGGGAGGGGACTGTTTTGGGGAAAAGATGAGTTTAGTTTTTGGATATGTTCCCTCTTAAGAGAAGCCTTTTCTGATAGCCTAGTCATTAAGATTCCCTCCCTTCTCAAATGATCTTGTACACATGTATTTGTACACTTGTATCCCTGCTCCATTCACCTCTCATAGAGCACAACTTTACTGAGGGCAGGGACCACATTTTTGTTTTTAACTTTGTTTTCCTACATATAGCAAGCACTCAATAAATGTGTGTTGATTTGAATCACAGAACTTAGAGCTGGACGGATAGGGAAACTGAGGCCCATTTTATCTTCACCTGCTTAATCTCCTGCTCCTGGTTGAGATTCTCCCAGTAGTTGGTCACAATGAAAGCTGCATAGGCCCCTGCCAGGGCTGGCTCCAGGCTCTCTTCATCATCTTGATCTCCTTGCACCACATCTGCGCCTTGATTTCTCAGATGTTCTGCGGCTTTCTGCCGGGGATTTCGAGTCACCACACGAACTCTGAATGTCCCATCTTCCAGAAGAGTCTTAGCAACTGAACCACCTTGGGCACCTGGGGGGAAAAAATCAGACAGCCTTTCTTTGAAGTTTCTATCCCAAGCCAACCCATTACCTTGAAACTCTATCTCCTAGAATAAGCCCTTTCAAAGGAAAAGACTAATGTTTTCTTTTTTTTTTTTTTAGGCAATTGGGGTTAAGTGAATTGCCTAGGGTCACACAGCTAGTAAGTGTCAAGTGTTTGGTCTGAGGCCGGATTTGAACTCAGGTCCTCCTGACTTCAGGGCCGGCGCTCTATCCACTGCGCCCCTAAGACTAATGTTTTCTTTCACAACATGATCAATATGGAAATATGTTTTGCATGACTACACATGTATAATCTGTATCAAACTGTCTTCTCAATGCAGGAGACGGAGGGAATTTGGAACTGAAAATTTAAAAAAACAAATGGTAAAAACTGTTTTTATATGTAATTAAAAATATTTAAAGAAAAAAACAAGTTAATATGATTAAGAAAAAAAGGGCAAAGATTATTAATTTTTTTTGTTTCCCTCTGAAACCATGAGATCAATCAATCAATAAACATTTATTAAGTGCCTACTACGTGCCAGGCACTGTACTAAGCACTAAGGACATAAAAGTCCCTGCCCTCAAGGAGCTTACAATCTAATGGGGGAGACAATATATGCAAGCAAATACATACAAAGAATGTTATATATAAGATAAACAAGAGATATTTAACAGAAGGAAAGCACTAGAATTAAGACAGGTCAGAGAAGGCTTCCAGTAAAAGATGGGATTTTAGTTAAAAGAAGCCAGGGAGGTCACTAGGCAGAGTGGAGGAGGGAGATGTTCGATGCAAGGACAGCCAGAGAGATGCCAACAGCAGAGATACGGAGTGTCTTCTTCATGGAATGGCCAATCGGCCAGTGTCACTGGATCAAAGAGTACATGTAAGGTGTAGGAAGCTTGAAAAGGTTGGAGGGGGTTAGGTTAGAAAGGGTTTTAAACACCAAAGAGCATTGGAGTTTACCAAGTAGGAGGTGACATGATCAAACCTGAGCTTTAGGAAAATCACTTTAGTATCTGGATAGAGAATGAATTGGAGTGAGGAGAGGCTTGAGGCAGGCAGGCCCGCCCACCATCAGGCTATTACAATTGCTCAGGTGTGACAGAATATGGCTTGTCAAAGACCCTACAAGTAGTAAAGAACAGAGCTAAGGTTTGAATTCAGATTCTCTGATTCCAAATCCAAATCCGATATTCTTCTTGCTATACGACACTGTTTAAATGAGTTCAAAGATGCCCTCTAGCTCAGCAGTTCTTAAATTGGGCTACATGAACTTTAAAAAAAAATTGATAACGATATTTCAATATAGTTGGTTTCCTTTGTACTTTATTTGGGGGAGATCGGCAGGTACAGCCAACTTTTGTTCTGTTGGTGAAACTGACAGACCAGGCTAGGAACAGAAAAATATCATTATTTCATGATATGTTTTAACGTCATCTTGGATATACTTGGGTCTAATCTTGTTACTGAAAAAAAACATTTAATCAGTCTTTGCCCAGCACTTACTATGTCTGTAGCAATCAAAAAAAGTTAAAAAAATTAATATAATGGAATATTACAGTATAATAAAATGAAAGATATGAAACATACAAGGAAATATGAAGGTGTCAGAGAGGTCACACGAATTGACTTTAGTAATATTGTTTTTAACCCAATTAATTATTTCACCTTTGTACCTCTCAGTGAGGAACTTCCCCAACCAGTGAAGATTAGCACCTTATTAACAAGTTTACAACAGAGTCACTGAAAGCTTAAGTAACTAGCCTCAGGTCCCACAGTCAGTATGTGTCAGAGGCAAGTCTTTATATGGAAGCCAGGTTTCTATCTATCACACCATAGAGAAAGAATAGTGGAATTTCACTCGTTGTTTATTAATTTACTTGGTTCCACTTTGCTAAATGCCAAAGGTTTTATGTTAGATTTTATTCCTTATTTTGTATGTTTGATTTGATTAGTTATTTTTGTTGACTTAAGTTTGTAGCAAAATAAGTTTTAACATTTCCACTCCTTATGTTTCTTTGTGTCTCTCACAGCGCCTGGTAGAGGGCAAGACACATAGTAGAGACTTGAATTTAATTCTTGGCAGAAGAGGGATTCCATCTATTCACTCCTTTTTCCCAACTTCCAAAAAAAGTTTTAGGACCTGGAGCCCTAGGTACTCCACAAAATACAGTTATCCCTTCCATATTGCAGGGCATAGGGGAGTGGTGCCCGCCGCCCCCACATGACAATCTGGAAATTTTGGCCCTTTGTACCAAAGAAGTTCGAATTTTTTCTTTTTCTTTTATGGTATGTTTACAGTACCTTATTATAAAATTTGGGTTAAGTATTTGGTCGTAGGCTCTGTGTTGTCTGTTGACCTTCGTGTATTGTCTGCAGCTTCCATAAAACTCCCCAGAAATTCCCATTTAATTTTTTTATGCCCACTCGCAATATATCAAAACCACAATGGGGAAAGTTGTGATGTAGAAGGGATAGCTGTAGTCAGAGTCTGTGTTTCCTTACTAGCTTGTCCAGGACACTAGTCACCCCCTAGTCCAACCTGAGTTATGAGTTCTATCCCAAGACTTAGGAAATGTCAAACCTTGGCTTTATCCCTGACTTACTATATTGGTCTTATGTTAATCACTTCCTCTCTTTAAGGCTGCTTTTCCTCTGCTGTAACACCAAAGGAATTTGACTCCAAGAGATCTTTAAGGTCTCTTCCAGTTGTAACATTCTATGTTCCAGAAGTCTAGGTTCTTTCAGCCCTTGCATTCTATAGTTCTACTTACCTGTTGCTCCAAAAACCACTACCAGTTTCTTATCAGCCATGAAGAGTCACAGAGCAGGAATGAACAGGAGCTCAAAACAGGAAAGTCTGAAAAGGAATAGCATGAGGTAGTTAATTCAATAAACATTTACTAGATCCCAAAGCATCGTCTTGTTTCTGACACAAACTGGCTGTGTGACCTCGGGCAAGCTACTCTCAATGTCCCACCTCCTGGCTTTCCTCAAGTCCCAGTTAAAATCTCACCTTTTACAAGAAGCCTTTCCTGATACCCCTACTACTAGTCCCTTTCCTCTGAGATTGGAGGCAGAGCCAAGATGGCGGAGGGAATTGAGCACTTATGCTGAGCTCAACCCTCATCATTTCTTATTGCACAACAGTATCCCATTACATTCACATACCACAAGTTGTTCAGCCATTCCCCAACTGATGGGCATCACCTCAATTTCCAATTCTTTGCCACCACAAAAAGAGCTGCTATAAATATTTTTGTACATGTAGGCCCTTTTCCCTTTTTTATGGAGATCTGTGTTCAAGTCATGGTCTTCTGAGTTTGTGTCTTGAGCTTCCCTGACACCATAGAAGCTTTTTATGGTCAGCTTCTTTTGTTGTTGTTTCTCATTTTTCCAGCCTAAGGACATTAGAAAAACCTGGGAAGACTTACATGAACTGATGCTAAGTGAAATAAGCACAACCAGAATAACATTGTACACAGTTAACAGCAACACTGTGCAATGATCAACTATGACAGACTTAGCTTTTCACAGCAATACAATGATCCAAGACAATTCCAAAAGACTCATGATGGAAAATGCTATCCACATCCAGAGAAAGAACTATGGAGTCTGAATGCAGATTGAAGTATACCATTTTCACTTCTTTCTTGTGTTTTTCCCTTTTGTTCTGATTCTTCTTTCACACATGACTAATGTGGAAATGTTTAACATGATTGCACATGTATAACCTATATCAGATTGCTTGCTGTCTTGGGAAAGGGGGAGGGGAGAGAAGGAAGGAGAAAAAATATGCAACTCAAAATCTTATAAAAAATGAATGGTGAAAACTATCCTTACATGCAATTGGAAAAAAAAATACTATTTACAACCCCCCCAAAATCTCCCTTAATGCTAGTCCCTTTCCTCTGAGATTATCTCCAATTTATCCTATATGGTTGCCTCCCCCATTAGACTGTGAGCTCCTGGAGAGTAGGGACTGCTTTTTGTCTTTCTTTGTATCTCAAGCACTTAGCATAAACAAGGCGTAAAGAAGGTGCTTAATAAATGCTTACTAAAACTGATAAACAGATCTGGAAGTCATCTGTATAGAAATGATAATTTTTATGAGCTAATGAGATTACCAAGAGAGTGTGGAGGAGAAAGAATAGAAGACCTCAGACACAGCCTTAGGTTACATCTAAGATTAGGGAGTGATGAGCTAGTAAAGGAAATTAAGAAATTAAGAAATCATTGGTAATTCTGTAGAGAGTAGTTTCAATTTGGGGAGGGAGAAAATGGGAAGGGTATTAGAAACCAGATTGCAAAGAATTGAGAAGTAAATTAAGATGGAGGTCATATGGCTTTTTCTAAGAGTCTGGCTCTATAAGGGAGCAAGGATATAGGATGATAGCTCAAGGGGATGGTAAGGTCAAGTGATGACTTTTTTTTAAATAGGGGAGACCTAGGCATATGTGCAAGAAGTAGGGAAGAAATTAATATGTAAGGAGTAACTGAGAGAAGAAAGAGAGGAACTGTTTTGAAGGGTTAACTCCACTGGGGATGGGATCAAGATTGGCCTTAGTAGTAAGACTGTGGTTTATCCTTAGTTTTCAAAGAGGACCATGACATCAGGGAAATGATGACATGACTTGCAATTAACTTTGATTTAAGTGAGGGAGGGCTGTGCACTGTCACCGGCTTCACTTTCTCCTCCAGAGCCATCTGGGTCCAGTGGCCAGATATCGATCAGGATGACTGGCGATGGCCCAGGATGCTGTGGGAGACCTTGGCCTTTTTTGTTTCTGGTAGTAAGAAATGTATCTTTGGAGGGAGACAGTTTTCTCAGGGGCAGCTAGGTGGTGCAATGGACAGAGTGCTGGGCCTAGAGCCAGGAACACTCATCTTCCTGAGTTCAAATCTGGCCTCAGACACTTACTAGCTGTGTGACCCTGGGCAAGTCACTTAACCTGCTTGCCTTAGTTGCCTCATCTGAAAAAACGAGCAGAAGAAGAAAATGGCAAACCACTCCATTATCTCTGCCAAGAAAACCCCAAATGGGGGTTACAAAGAGTGAAAAACTACTGAACAACAAAAGTTTTCTTAAAAGTACAAAAAGGAAAGATTGTTAGATGAAGAGGCCCAAAGGAAAGTTTGTTAAGGACAGAATTGGGGATCCAGAAAGCACATTGGAAGGGGTGTGCATAGCAGGGCAGGGACTCTGAAAGGGATGGTTTGGGATGAGAACATGGGGAATGACAGCAGGGGGAGTTTTCCTCCGAGCAGAGGCTGTCAATGATGTTAGAAAAGAGGTGAATGTCTGAAGGGAAGGAAACCTTTTCCCAAGAGGCATAATGTTCCTCCTCACCATCTTTTGCTGCACCAAGGAGAAAGGAACTGATACATAGAGAACACCAGCCTTTATCATCACAAGACCCTTGAGAATAAGAATCCCATTCACTTAGTACCTTCCTAGCAAACTACCATCTCTTCCTCCCCTGGTCCTGGTGACTTGTCTCTGCTGAAAGGAAAATCTCTTCCCTTATTAGAGTTACAAGGGGCCCTAGAACACAGAATTCAAGTTGAAATGTGATAAGGCCATAGAAGAGGTCCAGCTGCCCATTGAATCATTTTTTTCCCCTTTAAGGCCTAGCTCCTGTGACCCATCCTTCAGAAGAATATCCCTAAATCCCCTTACCTAGAAGCCTGTCTTTCCCTCCTGATATCACTCATAACCCTTTGGAACTCCCTAGACAGATACATGTCACATTCTAATTTGAATTATAAATATTTCTAATCATGTCTTAGCTAATCTTTGCAACTGTATGCTCGTGCACCATGACTTGCACCAGTAGACATTTGATCAATGTTTACTGAATCGAAAGTAGCTAAATGATGCCCAAGATTCCTTTCTAGCTCTAATAATCTATGTTTTTCTGAGACCTCTTCCAGGTCTGATATTCTCCATTCTAAGGGTTCTTCCAGTTCTGACCTGCCATGGTTCTAAGCAGCCATTCTGTGGGAGCAGATCTCATTTGCTGCAATCACATATCTCTGTAACCCTTAACCTTGGACCAAAATGTCATTGAAATCTATTAGGAATCACAAAGAGGCAGGGAGGTCCATCCGAGAAACTTTATTAGCACTAATCTCCATTGCCTTAGCCAATAATGATCCCAGATATCATCCCCATTTAAGAGAGAAATAAGGGAGGCTACTCAATAGGAGTCACTGGATTGGAAAAGGTCAGTTTATACCCTAATCCTACAGAAGGGCAATGCCAAAGAATGTTCAAACTACCAAACAATTTCACTCATTTCACACACCAATAAGGTTATGCTTAAGACTTTGCAAGGTAGGCTTCAGCAATATGTGAACTGAGAATTACCAGAAGTGCAGGTTGGTTTTCAAAGAGGCAGAGGGACTAAAGACTAAATTTCCAACATCTGCTGGATTATGGAGAAATCTACTTCTGCTTCATTGACTACACAAAAGCCTCTGACTGTGTGGATCACAACAAATTGTGGCAAGTCCTCGAAGACACGGGGTACCAGATGATTTTACTCATCTCTTGAGGAACCCGTATTCAGGTCAAGAAACAAGAGTTAGAACTGAATATGGAACAAGTGATTGGTTCAAGATTGGGAAAGGAGTATGACAAGGCTGTACAGTATCACCTTATTTGATTAACTTATATGCAGAGTACATCACACGAAATGCCAGTCTGGATGAATCAAAAGCTGGAATTAAGGTTGCTGGAAGAAATATTAACAATCTCAGATATGCAGAAGATACCACTCTGATGGTAGAAAGTGAAGCAGAATGAAGAAGCCTCTTGATAAGGGTGAAAGAGAAGTGTGTAAAAGCTGGCTTGAAGCTTAACATTAAAAAAAAAACTAAGATCATGGCATCTGCTCCCATACTTCCTCGCAGATAGAGGGAAAAGAAACAGAAGCAGTATCAGTTTATGTTTTTGGGCTCTAAGATCACTGCAGCCATGAAATTAAAAGATGCTTGCTCCTTGGGAGGAAAGCTATGGCAAATCTGGAGACATCACCTCGCTGACAAAGGCCCACACATTCAAACCTATGGTTTTTCCAATAGGAATGTCTGGCTGTGAGAGTTGGACTATAAGGAAAGCTGAGCACTGCAGAATCAGTGCTTTTGAATTGCAATGCTGGAGAAAACTTTTGAGAGAGTTCCTCGGGCAGCAAGGAGATCAAATCAATCAATACTTAAAGGAAGTTAATCCTGATTATTCATCAGAAGGACAAATACTGAGGCTGAAGCTTAAATACTTTGACCACAGGAGAAAACAGGACTCATTGGAAAAGAATCTGATGCTAAGACTGAAGGCAAAAGGAGAAGGGGACAGAAGATGAGATGGACATGGAAACAGTGAACATGAACTTGAACAACAATAACGAAGGGGGATAAATTCCTGTTAAGGGGGGATATTGGGAGGAGAGGGATTAGGTGGAATTATTAGGTGACCCCATATTTACTCTCACCAGCAAACTATCTCTAACATATCCTAGGAAGGGAAGAGGGGCTCTTTCATTTCTCTTGCACCAAGCCTTAGGAGGGACAAATCCTGGGGAAGTTGAGGCAGCACTAAGAGTTTGAGAAGAAAGAAGAGTTCCCCCTAAGCTGCCCACCAAAGGATAGGTTAAAGCTTGAGACTGGGATTCACAGAGAGCCCTACAAGGTGGAGAAGGGAGAGGCAATAAGTAAATGCTAAAGTCATAGGAAAATCACCTTGGTATAGAGCAGGAGTTCTTAACCAATTTTTTATGTGAAAGATCCATTTGGTGATCTGGTAAAATGTTAAGCTCCCTTCTCAGAATACTGTTTTTAAATAACTCAATGATAAATATGATAAATATTACCATATTAATATTTTAATTGAAATAACAAATTTCAGTTAAAGGTTAGTGAAGTAAAGGTGTAGTTGGGGTTTTTTTTTCCCCATCCAAGTTCATGGATCTCCTGAAATCTATTCACAGACACCCTGGTCTGGGGTGTGGACCCCAGGTTAAGAACCCCTGGTCGAGAGGAAAGAAAAATAGCCCTGGAATCTGGAAACCTGAGTTTGAGTCTTGACTCTGCACTTAGTACCAGTGTTAGTTACCTGGAACAAGTCATTTCCTTTCTCTGAGCATATTTCCTTCTCTATAAAATGAAGGGGTTAAATTATCTCTAAAATCCCTTCCAGTTGTAAAACTGATTCTATATCCTGCAGCAAAGAAAAGGCTAAGAGTATCTTTGGTTCTTTCAAGGGAAAAAAGACACCCTAGGGCCACGTTTAAATCCCTAAATACCATGTGGTCATCAGGCCCTTCTGAACATAGAAAGTGAGTTGCCCAAGGAACTTGTTAATTATGAACACTAAAGATATATTCAGTCCCTTTCTTCACCATTGAAATCCCAGCTTTCACTTTCAAACTCTTTTTAGGAGTCTTGTAGAGGAAGCATTATTAGTATATGCTAGAGAATAACCTGGAGTGAGTTAGAGCCTCAGCTCTGCCACTCTTCACAGTATGACCCTCTCTATCTCTGGGAATTTTAACTAAAAATTTTCTATGTTCTATTGTATCTTCCACCTCTAACTTTCCATGAGCTACTGCCCCTTCTAGCTCTAAATTATTATTTTTTTTAATATACCTACTTTATCAATGGAAAGGGAAGGCTTCTTGTTTTAAATTTTTATTTATTTATTTTTTGAATTTTGGAGGCAATGGGGGTTAAGTGACTTGCCCAGAGTCACACAGCTAGCTAGTGTCTGAGGTTAGATTTGAACTCAGGTCCTCCTGACTCCAGGACCCACTAGTGCCCTATCCACTGTGCCACCTAGCTGCCCCCTGGCTCTATTATTCTATGTTCTATTGCACCTTCCACCTCTAACAGTCCATGTACTACAGACCCTTCCCACTCTAACATTCTAATGATCCTCCTAGCTCCAATATTCTTTTTTTTTTTTTAAGGCAATTGGGGCTAAGTGACTTGCCCAGGGTCACACAGCTAATAAGTGTCAAGTGTTTAGTCTGAGGTCGGATTTGAACTCAAGTCCCCCTGACTTTAGGGCCAGTGCTCTATCCATTCTGCCACCTAGCTGCCCCTTAGCTCTAGCCCCTGACCCTCTAAGGGTCATTCTAATGACCCTTCTAGCTATAACATTCTCTTATACCTTCCAGCTCTAACAGTCCATCTTTTAATGACCTTTCCAGTTCTAACATTCCATGTTCTAAAGGCCCTTCCAGCCCTAACATATTATGTTCTAATGACCTTCCCAACTTTTAGAGTCTATGTTAGTGCCTTTCAGATCTTTGATTTTATGGGTCTAAATCATCCAATTTCCAGACTTCCAGGACACACCATTCTACGAGCTTCTGGAGCTGGTCCTCTCCCAAGGCTGCCCCTCTCTGGGGCCCCCCTGCTCATGGAAGGTGGTGGGCTGGGTATGCATTCCTTGTTCCAGTGACCCCTCCAGCTCTAACATTCCACAGCAGAATGACCCTTCCAAGCCCAGCACTGAGTCACGGCTTTCCCTCCGAGACTTCCCCAAACTCTGGCTCTGCTCCCACCGTCGCTACGGGCCTGGTTCTAGATACCCCCCGGGCAGGGGGCACAGAGCTGTCTCTCTGCTCCTGGCCATGCATCCTCTCTGGCTGCTCGGGGATACCCCCACTTTCTGCTGCCACGACACCCATGGAGCCTGCCACGCGGGAGCGGGGATTAGTTACCTCTTCTTCCAGCGTCCCCCCCGATAAACGTAAAAGCAGCCAGACCTCAGGAAAGAGAGAGAGGAATGAGGAGTAGAAATCATTGTCCCCGGTGGGGGGGGGGACGAGGAGGACTGTGTCAAGGTCTGACTTCTCCCATCCCGCCCCTCCACTCATTCTTAGAGGCCCACCTGGTCACACCTACTTAACAATATCTATGTCCCATTCAGGGGAATAAAATTAAGGGTTGTTTTTACATCCAAAATAGATCAGAATAAGATCGCACCCCCCTCCCAGCACAGATGGTACATTCCACTCTAGGTCAACTTCTGGCATCCTTTCCCTGAGAAGCATGGCTTCTTACAGCGAGGTATTTGAGATATGAGAAGTTTCACCTATCAGATTGTATTTTACATATATTCATTAAATATATAACGTTAGGACTGTGCAACCACCTCATCTCCACTACATCCCCACCCCACCTCAGTTTTTTAATTAATAAATTTTGTTTCGACTTATTAATTCCCAACAAACTCACAGTTATACCCAATACTCAGTACAGTTCTGGGAAACAGTTTTGCAAACAACTAAAGAGTGTGATTGGGGATGATATAGTACTTGAAACCTTACACTTTCTGTAGTTTACTATTTGTTTAAATAAAAGAAAGATGTGTGCTTTCTCTTTAATAAATTGTTAACAGCTGTCCATTTAGAAAATCTGGTTTGTTTCCCTTTAAAGTTGTCTTCATTTATATAATTGTAATCACTGTGCAATTTAAAAAAATTTGCTTTCTTCAATCTTTGGGCTTCATACAAATCTTCCTCATATGTTTCAGCCTGGTGTAGTAGAAAGAACCATAGATCTGGAAATCCTATGGTGGACCATGTAGCAATGTGAGCTTCTGTTTATAACTCTTGTAAAAAGCAAGCACTGATTATTCCAATAACACCTACCTCACAGGGTTTGTTCGTTACCATGCAATGACATGCTTTTGACATTTATTAATGTTAAAGACATTAAAAAGCATAGGAACAAAAACATCTTCCCTTAATATGATCAAGAGCATTTATTTAAAACCAAGAGTTGTTAATTATATGTAATAGAGCAACACTAGAAGTCTCTGTATTCCCAGCACCTGACACATAGTAAGTGCTTGTTAGATTGAAGCATGTCTGAATTTTTCTGTCTAATAATAATAATAGCACTTTATAGTGTTTTAAAGTTTGTAAAAGGCCGTACATGTATTATTTCATTGAACCTGGGGTAATTTTCAGGGAGCCCATGACTAACTGGGGCCTGAGCTACATAAGTGAACTATCAAATTACCCAGGAATAGAGATAAGTTAGCCTCCTCTTCGTCAGTGCTTGTTCCTTTAATTCCTTTTCCTTTTCTTTCTGCTATTTCTATCCCCATAGCACAATGCCTGGCACATTGGTTGTTGTTCAGTCATGTCTGACTGTGATTTGGGAGTTTTCTTGGCAAAGCTACTGGAGTGGTTATTTCCTTTACCAGCTCATTTAACAGAGGAGGAAACTGAGGCAAATAGAGTTAAGTGACTTGCCCAGGGTCATACAGTTAGTAAGTGTCTGAGGTCGAATTTGAACTCAGATCTTCATGACTGCATGCACTGTGCCCTATCCACCACCTAGCTGGCCTGGCCTGGCACACAGCAGTCACTTAATAAATGATTGTTGACTGATTGATCTCAAGCCCCGAACAGAAATTCTTTGGCCTTCCACTTTTATTCACTTTTGGTGGATGGTCAAGCTAGTAATGTATTGTTTACTCCATTTCCATTTTTCTAGTTTTGCTTTTCTAACTTTGCATTATTTCGTTAGCGCTTTCCAGATTTCTTTGTAGTCCTCATACTTGCATTATAGAATTTCATTAAATTGAAGGGATTTTTTTTTTTTTTTTTTTTTTGCTGCACGATGCTACAGGGTGTTTGTGGGCCCCTGTGATACTGTTCTTCAGGGCTGGCTCAGGACGCTGACCAGCCCCCATTCATAAAGTTAGGAAGGGATGCCCCAGGCTTCGCTATCCCCTCTTCCCATTCCTGTCATCCAGAGAACGGTCTCCCTTTCTCTAGCCACCAGGGGACGCTGATTCTAAAGGGCCTCCGCGATAGCAGCTCTGGCCTCTTCTTCTCGTTGCTCCTTCCTGAAGGAGGGAGGCGGGGCTTACGGCGAAGGGCGCTTTGCATTCTGGGTCGGCGTAGCCATGGCGGCTCGTGTCCTCTCTGCTTGTGTCCGCCGCCTGCCCGCGGCCTTGGCGCCGCCGTCCCGGCCCCGGGGACTCGCGCTCGCCCTGGTCCGGCCGCTCGGCTCGGTCCCGTGCGCGGCGGCGGGGCGGCGGAGGAGGGCGGTGGCGGCGGTTCCGGCCGCTGCACACATGCAGGTGAGGGAGGCGGAGCGGGGTGGGCGGGCGGCGGTGACTTTGGCCGGCCCGCAGGGGTCACAGCCTGGCCGGGCCCGGGGGCCATGGGGGAGGGCTTCGCAGACGGGTCTGGCCGGGCCGCAGATGGACCGGGCCTTTGCCTCCCAGCCCGGGCTGGCTCGGGTTTCAAAGGCCTGCGAAGGTCAGAGTACTCCCCAGGCTCCTTGCAGCGGCCGAGCCGCAGCCCGGAACCCCTGCCCCGGGGCGCCGGCCTGCCTTGACCCCCGCGGGCTCCGGAGGGAGGGCAGGGAAGAGGACACGTGTGGTCGTCTCGGATCCAGGTGATGCCGATCACTCACACTGAGTACGTTCCTCTCTGTAGCCGGGCGCACGCTGAGTAGTGCAAGGTGGTTCCTGTTTTTATTTTGATCATCTGCCTTTTCAGTGTCGAGAGATTTAGAGGAAGGCCCCCAAAACTTTGGGTGTCGAACTGACGAGGAGGACATGGACAACCGTCCCCTCCCGCCATGGTCAGGCGTGAATGGGCCAAGATCTGTTTACTGGGAGGGATTTCCCACTTCGATCCTTTGGCATAGTTGGAGGATTTCATCGAAGTGGTTTGTCCACGATCACGCAATAAGTGTAGGTGGTGTTGAAGGGGAGGTAGGATAACTGCTGGTCTAGGGCATTGAGAACCAGCCCTTGGGAGTCAGGAGAGTTTTGTCCTCGCTGCCCCGGGGTGACTTTATTCGAGTCATTTGCCTTCCCTGGAACTCATTTTTCCTGCCTGTAAAACAAGGGGAGCTCCAAGGGCATTTCCAGGTTTGCAGTTCTTTGGGGAGATTTACAATCCAGGGCTTTCCTCTTTTAACCTCGAAGGTAAAGGGGCACCCTAGGCTGACCTGAAAGGATTTAAATTTGGGGGAAATGGAAGGGGAAGGGTAATTGTTTTCCTGCTTTCTGGCTTTCAGATACGTGAGGACCTGGATGTACTCTAGGTGTGATGATTGGGATAGGCTGCTGGAGAAAGTTGGTCCATGAAAGGGGATTTCTTCGGACCATCAAATTTCTTCTTTTATAGTTTAGATAACATAGTGATATTATACCTCAGGTAAGATAAAAAGCTTCAACCTGTGGTTAAAGCAGGTTAGCTTGACTCCAGGAACACTCGTTAGTTTAGGGACAATTGTGTTAAAAACTTTAGGTCTTTTAGAATGTTAGAGAGAAAGGATGGTTTAGAAATCAAATAATATGAACTCATTTTATAAATGGGGAAACTGAGGTACAGAGAAGGGAAATAATTTGGCCAAGATTATACTACTAGTCAGTGGCAGACTAGAACTCATTTGCCCTGACCCTGAGGCTATTGTTTTTCTATTCTATTGTACTACTGTTGATTGAAGTTCAAAATGCTACAATAATCCCAGGATGGTACAGGAAAAATGACAGTTGGTGGAGTAATTGTGTTACTGGGACACTTACTGCTACAGCTTGAATCTAGATAATTTGAAACTATGAGTTGTCCCTATTCTAATAATTGATATGTTGCTATGTCTAGCAGTGTTTTCCAAAGAAACTTTGGGTTATCAGTACCACTTGTTGGTGAACATCTAAGTAACAATATAATTTGTTCTTAAACAGTAACTGTGACCATATATTCTTAGAAAATATTTCTCATAGATTTTGGAGATGTCTAGGGGCAGTTCCACATGAATTAATATTGAAGGTTCTTCAGAGAACTCTCCAGTTAGGTTGGATTGGTCATAGGATGGATTTGATTCAAATTAAATTGATTTAAATTACTAGTCACAATTTTTTTCCTGCAAAAAGTATATTTTCATTTAGTGTATGATGAACACATACCCATATCAACTCAAATTATAGTCTGCTAAAGCTCAATGACCTTGAAAGTCATTTAGTCCAACTGTTTTAACATGACATAGAGTTAGTCCATGTAAATAGCGAAAGTAAGTAGTGATAAGTAGTGATAGAGCCAAAATTAAATTTTAGTTTTTTTCTGAAAAGATATATATCTAAAAAAAGTACACATCTACATTTTACAACAGTGATTTGCCTGAATAATTTTTTATTTTCAGCAAATGATTTGTTTCAATGCTAATTTAAATTACTTTGAAATTATTGCAGATCATTTCCAAGCCTTTCTGTGAACCACAGATCTGGGGAATAATTTTGCCAAGCTAAGTTATAAAAATGACAACATCAGTGACACTTCAAAATTGTTTGTTTTTTTTTAAGGGGTTTGCATGTTGTGGATATGCATTTTCTTTGACAAGCAGTATTTTAGTAAAAAACATACATTTTGAATTTGATTGAAGATTCATCATTCTTGGCTATTCATAACAGGGCCAAAAATGAAGGAGGTGGCAGACAAAGTATTTGATCAACCACAATAGATTTCATCAAGCCCATTTTACTCAATACAGGGCTTCTCACTCCATACGCAGATATGGTTTTAACTCTTTTTTTGGGCATAACTAATAATCTTGATAATCTGACTTCTTACTGGGCAGCAGCATAGAGGAATTGCTAATGGAATTCAGGAACACTGATAAATAGGGAGAAGTGGCAGCTGACAGTAACTGAAAGCAAACCCACTGGAAACTATAAAAAACAAATAGGAACTCAAAAAAGTAGGAGCCAGAGAGCAGACTATCGGACGCTTACTTGATCATCTCTTATAGCATCATTGTATTATAGTAT